TCTTGCTGGACTTGTTTTACCATTGTCGAAATGTCTTGTGAATCGGGATTCCGAGCTTGATCGGGTTGTCCCGAGAGAAGGATTTTCCTTCGTTGATCGTGAGAGCTTGTCGTGGGCTAAGTTGGGACATCCGGTTGTAGAGAACTTGACATCAGATCCGAATTAAAATCCACCAACCGTGTATGTAACCTTGATTGTCTTTTTTCGAGCAAGTTCGGGAAGAGAACACAGTGGGGTTATGTTTGACTCGTAAGTAGTTCAGGATCACTTGACCATTACCAGTTTGCGACCGTTCGCGTAGTTTCTCGTCTTATTCTTGTACTCGTAAGCTAGCCACCATACAATGCTTAGTGCTGCTGTAGCCTCACCACATATCCTTTCCATACCCATTAAGCTTTGCTAGTCTTGATATCCATAGTAATGGGATTGCCGAGTCCTCGTGGCTCATAGATTACTACAACAACAGTTGCAGGTACAGGTAATGCGATGATCTGACGCGGGTGTGATGCTTGCTTCTTTGGAGTTCTTCTGCTTCTTCTTCTTCTTCGATCAAGGGATAGGTTCCGGGTCGGGAGCCTGGGCTAGCAGGGTGGATGTCGTTCTTCTTTTTCGTTTGATTTCATCCGTAGTCGGATCCTGCTCTTCTGTATGATGATTGCTATGTATTGATGTTGTAGCTTGTGGCGAGTGTAAGCCTTTATCTGGCACTCTTATCTATTCAGTACATGGTATGTTGTAATCATATCCACCTTGCTATGCGCTCGAAATGCGATTATGGCCCAATCATGAATTCATCACGTGATTGGGATCGAATCACATCTTGGGCGCTACACAGAGGAGTTGGTACATAGTTACTAGAAAGACCCTGACAGTCTATAGTTGTGGGAGAAATTGCTCCTTAAGAATGATCACACACTATGAGAGTACTCCTTAACAGCCGGGATAATAAGATATAAAGGAAAAATTCTTGTGGGCAACATTCCTAAGTTAAGAAACAAGTTACTCATAGCTTTGCACAACTCTCCTGTGGGTGGTCACTCTGGAAGAAGAGCAACATATCATAGAGTGAAAAGCATTTTTAACTGGCCTGGAGTAAAATCATTAGTGGAAGCTTTCATTGATGCCTGCCCTATCTGTCAAAGAGCTAAGCATGAAAATTGCTTACAGCCTGGTCTTCTGGAAGCACTCCCTGTGGCTGATATGGCATGGCAACACATATCTATGGACTTCATTGAGGGCGTGCCTAACTCTCAAGGAAAGGATGTCATCATGGTAATAGTGGACGGGTTTACCAAGTATGCACATTTTATTCCCCTGTCTCATCCCTACACAGTGCTCGGTGTGGCTCAAGCCTTTGTTGATTACACAATTAGGTTGCATGGCCCTCCAAAAATGATAATATCTGACATGGACAAGATATTTACTAGTCAGCTATGGAGGGATATATTATCTACACTTAAAGTGGAATTAAGATACAATACAGTATATCATCCACAAACTGATGAGCAGACTGAAAGAGTAAATCAATGTCTGGAAACATACTTAAGATGCATGACTACACCAGCACCTAAGAAATGGCTTTCTCGGTTGTCTTTGGCTGAATTCTGGTACAATTCTACCTATCACACTGCAATCAAAATGTCCCCATTCCAAGCCCTATATGGTTTTCCTCCACCACTTATCTCAAAACTGGCCATTCTTGGACCTGAAGATGCAGAAGCATTGCAGCAATTGAAGGAAAATTTGTTACTGGCTCAAAACAGAATGAAGAAATATGCAGACACCAAGAGAGTTGAAAGAACTTTCCAAACGGAAGATGTTGTATATCTCAAACTGGCCCCTTATAGATTGGCAACATTTGGGTTCAAAGGAGCACTGAAGTTACAGAACAAATTCTATGGGCCATTTTTGGTGATTCAAAAAGTGGGAAAATCTGCATACAAATTACAGCTGCCAAGCACAGTACAAATCCATTCAGTGTTCCATGTCAGCCAGTTGAAGAAACACGTAGGCAACAAGTCCATCCCTGGTCCTAAATTGCCATTTGTTAATGCTGATGGTACACTGAAGACTGGACCAGCAGAAGTCCTCCAAGTGCACCGAGTTCCAAGACAAAATGTACCTGTTGTACAATGGCTTATCAGATGGATCGATCTACCAGCACGTACAATTTCCCGGAGTTTTTCAGCACAACTACACATGCGTGGAGGGGGGATGCAGCAACGTTATGAGGACACGTCGAAACTCAAGGGGAGCAATGTCAGGACTGAGGTTGTCGTTGTATTTCTTTAGTTAGCTGTAGCAGATAACAGTATTTCTTTAGTTAGCTGTAGCAGATAACACTTCGGAGAGATGTACGACTGGGATAGCTCCTCACTATTACCGTTCGTCGCTAGCCTTACAATTTAAATTCTAACGTTACTGATAGTTACTGCTCCATTTCACCTCCTTGCCCGGAGCTGGTCGCCTATATAACAACCGGGTTGTTGTGGCTGGCAGTCATCATCGACTCTTTCTCTAAGACTAGCCAAGATGGCCAAGTAAACTCATAGATAATATAAATACTCTGGATCTCGGAGAAATTCCGCAATCCTTCTCCTCAAATCCCTAGTCCTGGATCTGAAACTTAGCTAGATCCTGACATCAGCGATGCGGGAGAGGAAAGAAAATCAGAGGAACGAGGAGTCGAGGGAGCTCGATCGAACAGAGATGGATGGACTCGTTCCAATCTATCCCTAAATTCTGATGAGTCAGAAATTAGCTTTGTGGTAAATAGATTGGTTGGAAAGTAAAAGACCTGAAGAGGATGGAGACAACTCCCTTCTAATACTCCCTCCGTCCGGGTTTATTAGGCCTCTCAGCATCACAAGCATGTCCCTTTTTATAAGGCCCCGCTTTGGGAAGGTGCATGCATGCAACCATTTCATTGGTTGCATTGAAAGCCATTACTGTTAGTGCCATGGCTGGAAAATTAATATACTTCATGCATGTTTTTTCATTGGCTGCATGCATGTGAGAGAGTGCATTGGAATGTAATAAAAGAATTAATGTGAGCAAATTACTATGTGTTTTGGTCTAAGAGAAGTTGTCTTTAGGCCTAATAAACCCGAACGGAGGGAGTAGCAAAGAAGGTAACTACTCCCTCCTTCCATGTATATAGGGCCTAATGCGTTTTTCGAGGTTAGCTTTGACCACATGTTAGAGCAATAATTATTTGTATACAAGGGTTGGGACTTTTGAAAAGATAATAAATGCAATAATTAATTGTATATAAGAGTTGGACTTTTTTAAAAGATAATAAAAGGTCCCTACCCAGCTTCATATATGTGAATTAGCGAATTGTGAGCGGGACCAATAAACGCGGAGGAATATAGAGTAGACCACAAACCTTAAATTTCTAACACTGTTCTCTTGCATCCATGGAAAAAAAACAGAGCATGGACGTTTGCATAAGTACAAAGTTATTCTCGAAAGAATATGAATATTTGTTTGGGGAATGCTCATTGATCTTAAAACGGCATCAGCTCTCTGATGGACAAGTTGCGTCTGCATATATGCAGAATAGTATTGCTTCTGTTCATATAATATGTGAAGCTGCAAAAATATGCTTCACAACTATATCACGGATTTTGATAAAAGCAATCTGAAAACATGTGATACGTAGTTCATTCACAATATAGATTTCAATAAAATCAATTTGAAAACAAGTGTACACATAGTTCACTCAGGATAACTTCGAATGTCAAATGCATACAATTCCAAAGATGGACTCCAACCCAACTCAATAGCCAAGACTAACGGACTTGAACTAAACCAAGTCCGCAACCAAGGTCATGTACAATGCAAGGTGTTTAGAAAAATAAACAGACTTTACTTAAGCATCGGTGCTTATTTGTGGGGAGCAAAGGAGTCTAGAAAAATAAACCGGCTTTACCTTAGGCACCAGCACTTATTTGTAGAGAGCAGATGCTTAACTACACACCCCAGCTATAGATATAAGCACTGATGTTTCCACAAAATACGGATTGTCCCCAGTACTATGATATAAGCACTGATGCTTCCACAAAAATTGGATTATTTAAGGAAACACCTCTGTAAGCAGCTTGCATTGTTGTAAATAAGGGCCATCTTTTCCTTATCTTCTACTATTACCATTATTTAAAATATGTAATACAATTCATTACAAGGGGGTGAGATACTATCTTCTCTTAAATACTAGTTTTTTCTTTGAAAAATGAACTCCAAATGGAAATCTTTAGATTGACAAAGTGACCATGGACACATCGTACTTAACAGGTACACCATACCGCTAAAAAATGCGAACACCCATGCTAAGTTTAGGACTGTAACCTAGGTGGACAGATTCTACCACAAGGAATCTAGCCACTTATGATATGCTCAGATCGCATCTTTTCTTCAATGGTTCCATGAAAAAAATTTGGACTAACATATCTAGGCACTAAAGATGGCAATTCGGTAAATGCCACCATCGAACAAGAAAAATACGAAATGAACTACTCCCTCCGTCCATATTAATTGTCGAGGGAGTAACAAAGTTTGGAGCGTGAGGACCTCCATTGGCACATATGCCCCGCGGGATCTTATTATAGGGCTAAATATTTCCAGTTAACATAGCACTATTATAGCCTATAGGGCCAAATGTTCTAAATTAGCTAAGCAATTAGCTTTGCTTCAAAACTGCACTTCAACACTACATAGAACACAAATCACTACAAGATACTAACACCACATTACGGGTACTTGTCCTGCGAGAAAGTAACACTGAAATGAAATTGAGTACAAAACTGAGATATTTCCATCTGATTTGAGCTCCTACCACATTTAAGTTCATGATAAACATAACATGTGCAATCTCTAACTGTTACACATAACAAGAAAAAAAATCCATAAGCAAAAAATAGTAGAAACTAAAACAACAACCAAGTGACAAAATGCTGACCTTGAAGAGAGCCTATGCTATTGCCTTATCTTCAGTAGCTTCAAGAAGTGGTCGACATCTTGGCCTTCACATCAAGGTTCTCCTTGTCGTTAATAGGCTTTGTGGTCTGACTCCTGATCCTTTTGATCTTAGGGCTTTCCAGCCCCTTGTGTGCGAAACCATACAGGCGCAGCACCTGGTTATCGGCAAAATTAAATGCTCGCTCCATACTCTTGAGACACCGGTCTACTGGGTAATCACCATAGCTTCCGCATGGCTTGCACCCAACAAAGTGTGTCACAAATGGCCACCGCTCATCCCCAAGCCCTGGATGGTGGTTCTCCATCATCTCCTCGTACTTGTCCACCAGCCCAGCCCAGAAACCGTGCAAGTAGTATGAATTCTCTATATACACCTTGTCCATCCACTTCTCCTTCTGCGAGAGCAAGAGGTGTATCAACGCAGACTGGTCGTCAGCCTCGAATGCTGGACGGCCCTTCAGGTATGCGGTGAGTATCTTCCCGGCTTCCTCGCGGATGAAGCCCTTGGGCCCCATAGGAGCCCACGCAGCGAGAAGATCGAGTGACCACTGGCAGTTCCGGAAGAGGAAGCTGCCGGTGTTGAGCGCGATCCAAGAGTGCTTCTCAAAGAGGAGATCCTGATAACCGTGAATGATGAGGTTATGGTTGTCATAGCGCGAGAGGGGCAGCTCAAAGGCCATGTCGGTGAATAGGGCGTCACTGTCCATCCACCAGATCCACTCGACCTCCGGGTGGGAGAGCATAAGTCGGCGGAGCAGCGGCAGCTTGGCCCAGTAACCAGCGAGCTCGTTGTCGAGGTGCGCAAGATTGTGAACGATCTCGATGTCGTGGAAGCGGCAGTAGTCGATCTTGTTTTTGGTGCTCTTGAGCAGGTAGTGGTCGCCAAGCGGGTTGTCACAGGGGCCTGGTTGCGACCCCGTGACAAGCAGGATCCTGGGCTTGCCGCCGGGGACAGTGGCTGGGAAGCCCTTGTTCTGCGCGAGCCACCGTCGGCGCTGCTCGTCCCAGCCAGAGACGTTGGGACCGAGCGCGTAGTTGCCCACGGCGGCGGCATAGGCGGCGGCGGCTTCCGAGGAGTTGAGTGCGGTGGCGTTGGAAAGGACGCTGGAGGAGTCGAGGTCGCTGTCGGTGGGGTCGGAGGGGTCGGAGTCGGAGCGGATCTCGCGGAGGATGCGGTCGATGTCCTCAACGGCCTTGGCGCCTGCGAGGGCATCGGCGTCGGAGGGTTGGGACGGAAGGGAGAGGTTGAGCCCAATGGTACCCCGGAGGACGAGGATGGTGACGAGGCCGCAGAGCACGGTGATCTTGACGTTGTTGAAGGTGCGGCTGATCTTCCGCGACCGATGGTGGGTGCTGAGCGGCGAAGCCCCACGCGCCCGCGCCGCCGTCATCGGCAGGGCCCCTCCCCCACCGCCGCCGGCCTTGCCGCTGCTGTAGCCCATCCCCTCCTGCCCCATCGCCCCCGATTCCAACCCGGTGGCTTAATTAGATACGCCCAAGCTCCAGTTGGAACAGCCGCGTCGACAGGTGGGTTGCAGAGCGTGAGCGAGAGCGCGAGCCGGAGTGTCACATGAGCGCCGCTAGGTGAGATGGGATCCGGACGCTGGGTGGAGTGGAGAAAAGTGGGGCGGGTTGGGGATTTGGAAGAGGTAGACGGACGGAGAAAGGAGTAACTTTTTTGATTGATTGATTGATGATGATGAGTTATAATCTATGCACTAATATTAGAGCAACTCCAATGCGCCGGCCCACGTGCTAGCTCATTTTTGTTATTGTAATAAGACTTTTTTTAGCTGGTTGGACGAGCTTTCTGACATTGTTGTAAGCAAGCTCGTAGACAATGTAAACCTATTTTGAGTTTCAATAAAACTAGCAGTGTAGTCTTCCCTAAAAAAAATCCAACGCGCCGGCCCAAACGGACGGCGCTTTTGTCCGTTTGGATCGGCCTCCCGCTCGGCGTCCGCCCTGTTTGAAATTTAGGTTGGCAGTACACCCAACGCGCTAACCCATATTTGCCGGCGTAGCCGGCTGGCCACCCTCTTTAACAAATAGCACAAATTTTTTATTATTTCACACAGAAATTATGCATTTTCACAATCAAACATATAGTCCACAACTAAATAAATAGCATAGTTCAAGCAAATAAATAGCATAGTCTTACAAGCCGAATAAAAATAAAATAGTCTTGATATAGTTTTGCAAGCCGAATAAAAAGATACATTTATTGGTTGCCAGCATGAGCCCAAATATGTTCAACCAATCATTTTGCAGTTGCATGTGGGTTTCCCAATCACGCATGTCATGATGAAATTGGGTGAATTGTTTAAACGTTGTCGCTCCTCCATGCTCAGACACAACATTCTCACCTTCAAACTGGAACCCTTGACCGTAGAGACGTTTCGGGCGCTTATCTTCTACGATCATATTGTGCATGATCATACAAGCAGTCATCACCTCTCACTGCTTCTTCGTACTCCAAGTCCTAGCAGGATACTGAACGATGCCCCATTGAGATTGCAAAACACCAGAGGCACGCTCGACGTCCTTCCTAACACTCTCTTGCTCTTGGGCGAATCTTTTCCTCTTCTCTCCGACAGGGTTGGGGATTGTCTTCATAATAGTGGTCCATTAAGGATAGATACCGTCACCTAGGTAGTATCCTTTGTCGTAGTTGTGGCCGGTGATGATAACATTCACCGGTGGGTTGTTGCCTTCGGCAAGTCTAGCAAACACTGGCGAGCACTGAAGCACGTTGATATCATTGTGTGATCCGGCCATGCCAAAGGAAGATTGCCAGATCCAGAGATCTTGAGATGCCACAGCCTCAAGTATGGAGCCACGGAAAAACATGCACTGGCTATTGAGGTGGTGATGGGCCAACACGGCAGCCAAGATCTCCTCCTCATCATCGGACAAGGAATCATCGGAGTCGCGAAGAAAATTATGGAAAAGGAACTCGTCGGCGGCGTCCATTTTGTACCTTGGCAAACTGTCAAACAGCTTGCGAGCGTCGACGAGGGAGCCGGCCGGCGAAGGGAGTCGCCCCGCCCTCGGACTAGCTAGTTGCCCTGGCGACGTCCGAAGAGTGTGTCGATGTCCGACGAAGGAGCTGGGGGCGGCGAGGCGGCGAGGCGGCTTCTTGATCGCGACTATGTCGGGGAGTGGGGGTGGGAAGCTTTAGTGAGACTGGGGCAAGACGGCGGTGGCAGTGACGTGGGAGGTGGGTCGATGCAAATACGGCTCAAAAATGGACCGGGAATGGGTCGGCAAGTGGACGAAAAGCGGACGCGCGTCCGTTTGGGTCGGCGCACTGGCCCGACTTTTCTGTTTGGGTCGGCGCTGACCAAAATGGACGCGCGCGGACAAAAAAGTTGGCCCAACGCACCGACCCAAACGGACGCGCTTCCGCTTTTCGTCCGCCTATCGACCCATTCCCGACCATTTTTTAGCCGGATTTGCGTCGGCGCGGACACGAGACAGACACGCCCACCGAGGTCCTCTTCGGTGGCACGCTGGAGCTTATCGGCCCAACTCCATGCAGCGACGAGGTGCCTAGCACCTCTGGCCTTCCTCGCAAAGTACTCGTCTTCGTACACCTCCTCTGCATGATGATGCACCCGCTCCCAAAGCTCCGCCGCCTCCTTTTTCCAGGCAGCATCATGGGCTTCACAGGCTGCCCGGTACCTGGCATCCTCCTCCACCATCTCCTTCCTGAAATCCACTTGCCTGGCTTTCTCAGCCGGCGGTAGCAACTTCCAAAGACAAAGATCTTACTAGCCCCAAAACCAATCCAAAGTTGGGGGGTCCGGTGCAACCTCGTCCGGCGGCGCGTAGGTGTCCTCGTCGATGCTCTTCGAGTGAGCCTCCTCGGGGGTGGCTACTCCTCGTCGACGCGTGGGCAGACCGGTGGCGCCATGGTAGAGATTTGATATATATATATATATATATATATATAGAGAGAGAGAGAGAGAGGGCGAGCAAGGGAAGGATCTAGATGATAATGCAGGCGGGACGACATGAGCAATGTAGTATTTATTGGCAGCCGGAATCTATATCGTCGAGAATAGTACACATGCTGGTCGCCGAAATTTACGAGTACTGTAGTGTGAATTACACATGATTCCCGCAGCAAAATCCGTGTGTGAACATAATAGCTGACGGTTCCCAATGCAGAGTCGTGTCTGATTAATAAAGCCGGCCGCCCACCTTCCAAAACTCGAGGCGCGAAATAGAGTGCTAATCGTGTGGGGCCGATTGTCTTGCCGGAATTTAGATTTTCTATTTTGAACACCAGATATTTACATCGTCTGATAATTTTTGACCTCGCACACAAGTTCACAAATATGATTTTTCAAACCGTCATAGTTAGCCGTTGCATGTAGATGTAGTTCAAATTTGAATTATGGTCATTAAATGGCTAGGAAATCACTTAAATGTCTTTAAAAGGTCAAATGACCCATGAAATTTTCCAGTTTTTCACATGACAGTTAGTATCAGTGCATATTACATGTAGAAAATTTCTGAAGGCCGTAAGAGGAAGCTATCTGCCGTTCGTCATCGAACATGCATTGTTCCCTCTCGGAACCACGAGCCTTCTAGTGAGTTGCTCCGGTTTGTGAGGGGTGTGTGTCCATACTTTCGTCAAGCAAGCCAAATTTTGTACCACATAATCTTGGTGGCATCACATTACATCAAGCAAGGTTTCATGTTTTCTGATCATTTTTTTAATTTTTTGGAATAAAAATGACATGGCACTCCATGCATGTACATGTGTCCATGCCGTGAGACCAATATGTTTGAAAATTCCTTCTACTTTACTGCACATGGAATTAACCCGCACACAAGTACACAAATATGATTTTTCAAACCGTTATGGTTAGCCATTGCATGTACATCTAGTTCAAATTTGAATTACGGTCATTAAATGGCTTGGAAATCACTTAGATGTCTTCAAAAGGTCAAATGACCACTGAAATTTTCCAAATTTCACAAGACAGTTAGTATCAATGCACATTACACGTAGAAATTTTTTGAAGGCCGTAAGAGGAAGCTATCTGCCGTTCGTCATCAAACATGCATTGTTCCCTCTCGGAACCACGGACCTTCTAGTGAGTTGCTCCGTTTTGTGAGGGGTGTGTGTCCAAACTTTTGTCAAGCAAGCCAATTTTACCACATCATCTTGGTGGCATGACATTACATTAGGCAAGGTTTCAAGTTTTTTTGATCATTTTTTCATTTTTTGGAATAACAATGCTATGGCACTCCATGCATGTGTCCATGCCGTGAGACCAGTATGTTTGAAACTTCCTTCTAATTTACTGCACATGGAATTAACTCACACACAAGTACACAAATATGATTTTTCAAACCGTTATGGTTAGCCGTTGCATGTACATCTAGTTCAAATATTAATTACGTACGGTCATTAAATGGCTAGGAAATCACTTAAATCTTTTTAAAAGGTCAAATGACCCCTGAAATTTTCCAAATTTTCACATGACAGTTAGTATCAGTGCACATTACACGTAGAGAAATTTTGAAGGCCATAAGAGGAAGCTATGTGCCATTCGTCAGCAAACATGCATTGTCCCCTCTCAGAACCACGAGCCTTCTAGTGAGTTACTCCGGTTTGTGAGGGGTGTGTGTCCAAACTTTTGTCAAACAGGCAAATTTTTGTACCACATCATGTTGGTGGTATGACATTACCTCAAGCAAGGTTACATGTTTTTATTTTTTGGGGACATTTACATCTATGCCCCTAACTCGAATCCACTACTCAGATTTGCCCCTAATTTTGAAGCATGCTCAAATTTGCCCCTCCGTCGTTAAGTCACTACTCAGAAATGCCCTTCCGTACAGTACTGTAGCACTTTCTATCCAATACTGTAGCTTTTCGTCTACTATAGTACACATGGGCCTCTGACAGTCAAAGGACTTTGACTGGACGGAAGGGCATTTTTGAGTAGTGACTTAACGGCAGAGGGGCAAATTTGAGCATGCTTTGAAATTAAGGGAAAATTTGACTAGGTGGTTCGAGATAGGGGCAGAAATGCAAATGGCCCTATTTTTTGGGAATTTAAATGCAATGGCACTCCATGCTTAATTGTGTCATAGCCTTAGACCAATATGTTTGAAAATTCCTTCCAATTTACTGCACGTGGAATTAAATCACACATAAGCACACAAAATATGACTTTTCAAACCGTTTTGGTTAGCTGCTGCATGTACATGTAGTTCAAATTTTAAATTACGTCCATTAAATGGCTAGAAAACCACTTAAATGACTTAAAAGGTCAAATGACCCCTGAAATTTTACAAAATTTGACATGACAGTTGTATTAGTACTACAAATTTTCTCCTACATTTAAAACACCATCCGTTGCCACTTTACTCCAAATTCGTCTTTGACAGCTAATAAAAAATATCTACAACATCACACACAGTTGTTTTGCAGGAA